CTATATCATTGCTATTAAACCCCTCCATTAATATAACAATATTTAACTTATAATTAAATAATAAGTTAATAATTTAAAATTATCGGCTATTTTTGTTAAGTCTACTGTGAATATTTTGTAATTAAATGTGAATACTTATAAAAAATAACATTTTAAAAAACACTAAGGAGTCAATAATAATTATTGTAATGCACTAACAGTAATGACACTAATATAATGCAACATATTTCAACAATAACTAACATAATTAACAAAAATTATATTACAATTTATTCAATATTTTATTAATAAAACGTTAAATTAATATTATTAGTTTTATTGACTAGCAATTTTATTAAATTATTAACTAGCAATAATAATGTCTACCTCTACGCAATACTAATATCTCTAACATTATACAGTATAATAATATACTATTATATATACTCATTATATTTATTACACATTGCAATGAAAAAACAATTTTTGAGGAAAATCGTTATACATAATGTTAAAACATAATAAATAAATGGCATACTTCTACACAATATATTATAAATATTTTTAAAATTTATCATTATTTAATTAAAAATATATAATATTACCTAATACCTATTATTACTTCAATTATAATTTACAAATATTACAAAATGCACATTTATATATTTGAAGCTAGTTTCATTTTTAAAGCAAATTTATTTGTCAATAAAGTGAATCGTAAAAACAGCATAAATGTCTGCAAATATTAAATGTTAATTAAAATTAATTTTTAATAATTTTATTACTTATAATGTATAAGTTATACATACTTTGAACGCAATAGCCCTGGTGATAACGTATTGATTACCGCACGTAAATCCAATCAATCGGTTTCTAGCACTCAGTCGAGCCATACATTCATTTAACTGTTAAATAAAAATCAATACAAATATATATTTGTGATAATTTTAAATACCTTAATTGTAATCAAGATCAATTTTAAGCCAGCAATAGATCGACAATAAAGGTGCATAATTTTATAAGTCTTCATTATATAATGATTGATATCTGATACCAATAAATTGAGTAAAAACATAAATGTTAAGCATGATGCGATGAGAAAAATGTACAGGAACATTGATATAAGTATGGGATTCTCAAACATAAATATATGTATCAATTGACTACAGATTGGGATTATTGTATACATGTATGTGAAATAAATATTTCTCCAAAACTTGTTATACATTTCAATATCCAAACACAGTTTGCTGTGATCTCTGATTGCATTTATCGTTATTTGTCTCTTGAATAACATCTTTGACTTAATATTATTGTACAAAATATTATTATAACCAATTATACGGTATTTGAAATAAAGGGCAACCATGAAGTAATAGAAAAGTGTGTAGCCAATGTCTATCATAAGGGACACTAGAAATATTTGCCATAAAAACACGCTAATTATGCCATATATCATAATACTGTAATCATTAAAATAAACGATAATTATTAGAAATCCAATTATTGATACTATTATAAGCAATAGGTATATACAATATTTTAGGTATGTATAAATTAGATAAACTTTTTGCTTAAACTTTTCAAACAAATATTTATCTCGAAAATGAATTGATTCATGAGATTTAAGTCCATTTATTGCGACAATAATATCGTACCATTTGTATAGACTTTTGTGGCTATAATTGAGTGTAAATATGAAAATGATTGATACGTTTGATGCCAGACATGACATAAAATACATAAACACTTTGTTTTCACTGAAATATTGCATAATATCGCAGTAATAATGTGGTAAATATTGGTTTGGTTTGACATTGTACAAATATATAAAATAGCGAATCATATGAAATACACTTAACACTAAAACAATGAATACCTTGAGTTTTTGATTTAGAAACTGGGACCTGGATACATTTATGTCAATTTTGTCAAATCTATAGAATAGTCCAAATTTGTAAAGTGGTTGTTCAATGTAATCATTACTTAATAAATTCATGTTTTAAATAATATTATTTAGTATATTTAAGCACTTGTCTAAAACTTTTATTTACTATACAAGTAGTAATCTTAATTAATATAAGTTACTATAACTTAGAAAGTATGGGAAACTAAACCAATATTGAATTATACAATAATTATATTCCTAAATTAAAAATCAATTATTGCTTACAATAATACTATTTTATTTGTTTATTTGTTTAGTTTAGTTTACTAATTATAATTGTTTATTTAATTATAAATTATTAGATAATTAGTAGTGTTGGTAAAAAATTTCATAATAGATAATTTGCCTTTGATGAATATAAATTAAATAATAACAATGAACTTCATAATTTAATGAAAGTTTAATGATATATAATGTTAGTAATAAACGTGAAATCAATATTTGTATTAAAAAGTTTAGTGCTTTTAACGATACGTGCACTTACTTATGTTAATGACTTTTATTATTATTCTATTGTTTTAATTTCTAGAAATAAAATTTCTAATGAATATATTGTTTTATTATTATTTATATTCATTTATTTGCATATACCGCTAATGTATAATAAACAAAAAATTAGTATCTTATTTTTACTAATGTTTACTAATGAATGCCTTAAATTAGAATTTTACAAAATTATTAATACTATTTAACATATTTAAGTCAATAATATAAGAATAAAACACGAATTCTTAATCACAAAATCATTTTATTGCATCCAGGCAATACAATTGCAAATATTTGTACAACATAGGCTATTACAAATAAATAACTTAATAGTGTATATTACACTGTACAGTATAACAAATAAAAATTATTACATAATACCAAGACAACGAAATAAAATTTATATTTTTGTTTTCTTGAGCCATATTTGCCATTGATATTAAATCTATAGAATATTCCGTATTTGTACTTGATAAAGTGGTAATTTTATATTATAGCTATTAATTCATTTCATTAATATACTAATACTGTAATTAAATTATAATTTAATACATACCTCAATTTCATATTATTCTTTAAATCTTATAATAATAATTTAATTATTTTTTAATTTTTATATACTGTATATTTAGCCAAAACCTTTATATACAATAATATTAATAATGTTAACGAATATTTGAATGATGAATATCCCTAATTTATTATCTAGTCAACAAACATGAAGTTTCCATAACACGGAATACAAAGTATTGTACTGTACAGTTATACCAATGAATTACCCAGATTCAAATATAATGTCAACACTTGCCATCGCATTCACCTTATTTGGCATTTCGTGCAAATTTTGTGGTCAGTATAAAGAAGCGCATGAAAAGCAAAAACATCTGAAATTTAAGTTTATATTGATTTCATAAATATATTTAAATACAAATTGATTGACAAATTGCTTACTTTGAAAGCGGTAGCTCTGGTGATAACGTATTGATTACTACACGAAAAGCCTATCAATCGGTTTCTATCGCTCACACGAGACATGCAATTAATAATCTGTAATATTGGATAAAAACATAATTAATAATTTTGATTTAATTGTACAATATTTAAATTTAAAACCTTAATCTTATGTTGAGTATTTGTTGATTTATTAATAAAATTATAATATATAAACAAGGTTGAATAAGCTTTACACATTTGATAATTAATATCGGCAGTAATTATATTCAATACAAACATAAAACATAACGTAACTGCCAAAAATGAAATGTATATAAACTTGGCCACTAATATTAGATTTTCAAACAGTGTAATATGCAGCATGACACAGGTCATCGGGATCATTGTATAATATAATATAAAATATATATTTCTCCAAAACCTATTATGCATTTCAATATCTATACAAAGTTTGTTATGCTTTCTAACAGTTTTATTCACTATTTTTCGTTTTACAAAATAATTATTATCAATAAGTTTGTATAAATACTGATGATAAGCATATATACGATATTTTAAATAATAGCAAACCATTAGGTAATAGAAAACAATAAACCATAGGCACGGAAATGAAAATAAAAACATTGTTTGCCATAATATTATAGTCAGAATTCCGTAGAATATTCTGTAAATTCCCACAAAATATAATAATAATTTGTTTTATGGTTATTATTACGGTGTATGAAGTCAGTAATATATTGACATAAATTGGTATTTTATGTATAAAAATTAATTTGCGTATATAAATAATTAATTTATAAATAGTGTATCTACTTACCTCTTAAATGTTTTATAGCCATTAATAGCCGCAATTATATTGAGCCACTTATAATCATGGATATTTGAGTTGTTTAATATGTAAATAAATAGTATTACCATGTTTTCCCCCAAAATAGTTGAATAATACATAAACTCTTTGTTTTCACTAAAATACTGAAAGACATCACAATAATAAACCGGAAAATTAATATTAGGTTTGGATTTATAGATATAAATTGAATGTCGGATTATATTCATTATATTTAGTAAAACAACTATTAAGACTTTTTGTTTTTGTATTATTAGCTGATATTTATTAACAATTATACCATTAATATCAAATCTATAAAATAAACCGTATTTATAAAGCGGTATTTCTATATCATCTCCACTAAATTGATACATGATTTTGAATACAGATTACAATTTTGTACGAAATATACTTAATTTCTAAGTTCACATAAGCGTAGAAATAATTTAATTAATAATAGTTTCTGATATCAATGTACTATAATAAGTCGCATTTGTATTTAATTATTTGCTTATTGATTGGTTCAGTAATAATATTAATTATACATTTGAATTCAATAATTATCATTAATACTATACATTAATCTATAATTAATTAACAAGCAATTAGACTGGTATAGAATATTTACAAAAATAGTAATATATATATTTCTTATTAAAATGTTTTAATATAATAAAGTGTAAATCAAATAATGTTTTATTTTAATAACGAATTTATTGTTTAATATAAAAAAAATCGCAAAACAACACAACTGTTTGAAAACAAAAGTGCATTAATTTGAAGTGTATATTTATTTTAAAGTAACTATTTACGTCTACTTAATAAGCCTTGCAATATATTAGCCACAGAATCAGGCAAATAAGCATTTACAAAGGTGATATACCTAAACATAAAGCCCTCTATTGGCATATAATTATTTTGCGGCTCATCACTAATAATCGCATCAATGATATCGTTGACCACAATATAGGAGTTATTACCACTCAATCCACTGCTCGAGTCCAACGACTTTTGCTGACCTCTCTTCCAGCCGTCGAAATACTTCTGTCCGTAACTCCTCTTAACCGACTCCTCCGTCTCGGCCCACGTCCTGTCCATCAGCGATAGGATACCTGTGAAGAGTCCGGTGCTGGCGAACCCACCGGGCATTATAGTCGACACTTTGACACCAAAGTTAGCCATTTCTTTGCGCAATGAATCCGAGAATCTCAGAACCGATGCCTTTGTCATACAGTAGGCGCTAAACGTTGGGATCGCAAACAGAGCCAACACACTCGCTGTGTTTATTACACGACCTAGGTGCACATTATAAGTTCATATTTAAATTAACACAATATATCTATTTAATAAGGGAGCATGCATCTTATATTCATTATTATGATAATTAGTATAAATTGAACATAGTATTCATTGCAAATACCTTTAGCCTGTTTTATAAGTGGCAGGAATACCCGGGTCACGCGAACCACACCGAAAACATTGACTTTGAATATGTGCTCAAAGCTGGAGTGCAAAGTACCCCACTCTACGGGACTTGACATCATATACCCCGCGTTGTTCACCACCGCCCACAACACCACTCCATTAACTGACAGGTCTTCGGACACTTTGACGAAGACCTGTCTCACCTGATCATCGTCTGTGACATCCATTTTCAGGACAACCATTTGTTGCGAAAAGCGGCACTTTTTAGTCAACTCTTGTGAACCCGTGTTTTTGGTGTCTAAGACAGTGGCGTAGACACGGAATCCCAGCTCATTAAGACTGAGGGCCAAGAGGTGTCCGAAACCAGAGTCACAACCTTTCAGAGAAAAAAATTTAAAACTAGTTATTATTACAGTATTTTATTTTTTAATGTTTTTCAAAAACAATTGCATACCTGTTATGAGAACGGCTTTCCCACTGCTACTAATCGTCACTTTTTTCTGAAAGTATTTGTATATTTTGAAAGTTGCGTATAATATACACGATGTCCATATTAGTTGAGCGGTTATTGTACACAATATATCAAATACAGTAAAAATTAAACTAATTAGAAAAACCATTTTTAAATTATATATAAATTTTATGAAGTTTATCAGTACAGTTAATAATTTAATAATAAAGTAGTTTTAAAAAGTTGTTTCCATGTCAATTCATTCATTACGTTTAGTTTTATACAAGACAAAAATTTTGTTTGCCAATGAGAGTGCATTTAAGCGACCTTGGTCAAATCGTAAATAATATTATATAAACATGCACTTGGCCACTTATATAATCAATACAAGCCATTTATAAGATTTAGTACATTTTGATACAGCATAAATTATTAATCTAAAAATATTAAGTCCAGTTATTATAACAGATTGTTTTGATAATTAGCAAAATAACTTATTTAATTAATTTTGTAATTAGACATTTAATTTTTAAAAAATTGTGAATATTTTCGTTAAGTTTAAAACTTTATTAACATTTGTTAACTCTATTAAAAATAATGACCATGTACTTAAATATTTATTTTATAATTCATTTTTACCTAGTGTACCTAGTGTACCTAGTGTACTTGGATGTTATTTTAATAAAGTTGTACTATAAATCTGATTACCAAGTCTATAATCAAATTCTAATAAATTACTAACATATTCATAAATTATTAAATAAAAATATAGCCTTGATACAATACTATTACATAATGCTCTAAACAAATACGAATAAAAATATTTTTACAAACAATACGGATATTATATAATAATTATTATTGTATCAAGACCAATTTAAGGTCGGGCCTCGTGGAGTTTGGGGACATCCCTGATAACCGCCTGTCCCCGACTCGGATGTATAGGTGTGGCCACTCCTCCGCTTTTTCACACCATTCCTGATCATACGGATGGCTCTCTACTGTCTCCCCCTTTATAAATGTCCCCCACTTTTGTGTAATACTTTTTATATAACTAATCATAATTTAATTAATTTTCTTAATTATGCTAAATATTAAAAATAAATTTAAATTCTCGTCACAATTAATAGGACTTTAATTTTGTGTCCAATTTGTTGGTCAATAAAAAGAAACGTATGAATAGTATAAACATCTGAAATGAAAGTGATTTCAATATATTTATATTAAATTGCAGTCAAACAAAAATTGAATAGCTATAAGATTTAGCAATAAATTAAATATAATAATTGATCTGGATATCAAAAATGGTGAAAATAAATTCATAAATACTTTGAATGCTATACTTCTGGTGATAACGTATTGATTACTACACGAAAAGCCTATCAATCGGTTCCTATCACTCACTCTCTCCAGACATACCGTTAACTATAAANAGAAGGAGTTCCTTAAGATTCCCTCAAAAGACACTCAGTTTGACATTTGGCACAAACTCTTCAAAATCAATGGCTTTGATGTCATTTCACACCAATTCTTACACAAAGACGTTGTCTTTGAGTTTGATTTCTTTAAAGAGCGTATGTTTTGTTTGATTAGTGTTTGTGTAAAGTCTTGAGTTTGTGGTAATTATTGATGACTTGTTTGCCATCAGATATACTGCCCTTAACCACATCCATAAGGAAACAGTATTTCGTGAACTATGAGAGGGATATACCGATGAGGACTCCGGAGATCATTGGCAAAGCCCTCAAGAAATGTCGACAATTCACTGATGAGACCACTGGTGAGGCTATGATTGAATTCAAATATGCACATTTCCAGTTTGTACTTGCTAAATGAATATCATTTTGAATTGGTTCAGTTTGTACCATTAAATGTAACCAAGTTAAATATTTTTGTAGTTAGTTTTGTAATAATTAAGTAAAATAATAAATGTACACTTTTACAACTGACAAGATTTGTATTTATTTTGCCTTATATTAAATTAATTAATTATCATAAATTAAAACTCCATATGGATATATTATAATATTTTGTTTATTTAATAAAGTAAATATTTTTGTCAATTATAGCACAATTCATACTTACAATAAATGTTAATTGGTACATATACTCCAGCTTAAAATAATACCATAAAATGCTATTCAAATATAATTATATTATAGATTAATATAATTGTATTATAGATTAATGAGAAATTACTTTAAATTAGAAAATATTTTAACTTTTAATACATAATATATTTTTAAAATTATATTTACTTTTGTGTAAGTTTATAATATAATTTTGAAAATGTGTTGAATTATCACTTAAACCATGGATCAGTGTAGACCTCAAGACATAGATCTGAGCCAGGCACTAACTCCAGGATTAGGCAGTGAACTATACTGACCGAATAACCTTTCACAAAACCTTGATTTTCACTAAAAAAACTTACAAAGCTCATTTACAACTTAACTGAATGCTTACAGTTAACTGAATGCATGATAGAAACCGATTGATAGACTTTTCGTGTAGTAATCAATACGTGATCACCAGAAGTATAGCTTTTAAAGTATGTATTCAACTAAACTGGTACAATTATCATAATAATTTGAACTAAAAAGATCATTAATTTCTCACTTATTTATATGGAAGATGTTTCTATTATTCCTACGATTTTCTATGCTAACTAACTGCGAAAAGTTAGAAACTGAATTAATTAAATAATTAGTTTTTTATACATGTAAACGTTTATTTAACTTATAATTAGATGCAAATGTTTATTTGGCTTCAAACGAAGCATATTTGGTGAATTACTTATAATATAACCTTCATAATATCATTATATCCCAATACTTACACAATAAAATTAGTAATTATGTATAAAACAAATGAACTATAAAGCAATTAAAGCTATCATTTATCTTATATATGAATTTATATTTAATGTATGAATAATTATAAGATACCACAAAGTCTCATGTTAATTATGTTTAAGTACTAGGATAGTGCAAAAACAAGTAATAAGTTACTATATTTGAAGTCTATTGCACAAATATGAATAATAAACTTTTACATACCATGGATCAATTTGGCAAAAATGACATTGAATTACCACTTTATAAGTACGGAATATTCTACAGATTTGATGTGAATGGTAAAAATGTTACTAAATTTACGCGGGTTAAACAAAAATTAAAATTTACTATTAACTTTACAATAAACCTGCTAAATTATATAAGATATTTAATTTACATCTATAATTCTGTACCAAATCAATTGTTACCACTTTATTATTATGATATTTTTCAATACTTTGCACCCAATAAGGAATTTATGTATTGGTCCGCAACAATCTATTTAAACATGGTGCTAATCCTATTGTATCTAGTTAATAATAGTAATATTACCAATTATAAGTGGTTTGAAATTATTTCATCTATCAATGGATACAAAACTTTTAAATCAATTCATTTGTGCGACAAGTATTTGATTGAAAAGTATCTAAAAGTTATAAAACTATTTTATTTACTTATAAAATACAGTGTATTTACAACCGGCTCATTAATCATATTGATTTCAGTGTTTTTAGCTTGCACCAATCTAGTTGGTTATGATTTGGTAACTTATGGTATAATAGGTATAACGATATTTTCAGTGTATATAATATGCTGTTTGCCTACCATTTGGTTCACAATCTATTACTATATTATTGTTTGCTATTATTTGAAATACCGTATCATTAATTATAACACAATTATGAGTAACTATATAACTGCTAAACTATTAATCAAGCACAAAATTGTTTTGAATGTAATCAGGGATCACAGCAAATTGTGTCTGGATATCGAAATGCATAACAAGTTCTGGAGAAATATATATTTCGTATTTATCTATTCATTTATACCGATTAACTCCCAGTTGTTACACATATTGCTGTTTGAAAAACAGTTTTTGATCACAAAATTAAGTTACATATCATTCCTGTCGTCCACACTATTCCTCATGATTTTGCTTAATTTCATCACATCTGAGATCAACCATAAAATCAGCAAAACATTTGACTCTTTGCTAATGTTTTTGAATTTTATGAACAAGTCGTCCAAAATTTCGCTGTCAAATAGGATTAAGGTTTTTGAATATTATATTTATTTTAATAATGTAATGATTTACAAAAAATAAGACATTTTTGTGTTTTTATAGTTAACGGTATGTCTGGAGAGAGTGAGTGATAGGAACCGATTGATAGGCTTTTCGTGTAGTAATCAATACGTTATCACCAGAAGTATAGCATTCAAAGTATGTATGAATTTATTTTCACCATTTTTGATATCCAGATCAATTATTATATTTAATTTATTGCTAAATCTTATAGCTATTCAATTTTTGTTTGACTGCAATTTAATATAAATATATTGAAATCACTTTCATTTCAGATGTTTATACTATTCATACGTTTCTTTTTATTGACCAACAAATTGGACACAAAATTAAAGTCCTATTAATTGTGACGAGAATTAAAATTAATTTTTAATATTTAGCATAATTAAGAAAATTAATTAAATTATGATCAGTTATATAAAAAGTATTACACAAAAGTGGGGGACATTTATAAAGGGGGAGACAGTAGAGAGCCATCCGTATGATCAGGAATTATGTGAAAAAGCGGAGGAGTGGCCGACACCTATACATCCGAGTCGGGGACACGTCCACGATTTGAGGCCAGGGATGCCCCCAAACTCCACAAGGCCCGACCTTAAATTGCTCTTGATACAATAATAATAATCATATAAAAATCCGTATTGTTTGTAAAAATATTTTTATTCGTATTTGTTTAGAGCATTATGTAATAATATTGTATCAAGGCTATATTTTTATTTAATAATTCATGAATATGTTAGTAATTTATTAGAATTTGATTATAGACTTGGTAATCAGATTTATAGTACAACTTTATTAAAATAACATCCAAGTACACTAGGTACACTACAAATGAATTATAAAATAAATATTTAAAAACCTGGTCATTATTTTTAATAGAGTTAACAAATGTTAATAAAGTTTTAAACTCAACGAAAATATTCACAATTTTTAAAAATTAAATGTCTAATTACAAAATTAATTAAATAAGTTATTTTGCTAATTATCAAAACAATCTGTTATAATAACTGGACTTAATATTTTTAGATTAATAATTTATGCTGTATCAAAATGTACTAAATGTCATAAATGGCTTGTATTGTCTACCAAGTGCATGTTTATATAATATTATATACGATTTGACCAAGGTCGCTTAAATGCACTCTCAATGGCAAACAAAATTTGTTTTGTATAAAACTAAACGTAATGAATGAATTAACATGGAAACAACTTTTTAAAACTACTTTATTATTAAATTATTAACTGTACTGATAAACTGCATAACAGTTATATATAATTTTAAAATGGTTTTTCTAATTAGTTTAATTTTTACTGTATTTGATATATTATGTACAATAACCGCTCAACTAATATGGACATCGTGTATATTATACGCAACTTTCAAAATATACAAATACTTTCAGAAAAAAGTGACGATTAGTAGCAGCGGGAAAGCCGTTCTCATAACAGGTATGCAATTGTTTTTGAAAAACATTAACAAAAATAAAATACTGTAATAATAACTAGTTTTAAATTTTTTTCTCTAAAAGGTTGTGACTCTGGTTTCGGACACCTATTGGCTCTCAGTCTCAATGAACTGGGATTCCGTGTCTACGCCACTGTCTTAGACACCAATAACACGGGTTCACAAGAGTTGACTAAAAATTGCCGTTTTTCGCAACAAATGGTTGTCCTGAAAATGGATGTCACAGACGATGATCAGGTGAGACACGTCTTTGTCAAAGTGTCCGAAGACCTGTCGGCTAATGGAGTGGTGTTGTGGGCGGTGGTGAACAACGCGGGGTATATGATGTCGAGTCCCGTAGAGTGGGGTACTTTACACTCCAGCTTTGAACACATATTCAAAGTCAATGTTTTTGGTGTGGTTCGCGTGACCCGGGTATTCCTGCCACTTATAAAACAGGCTAAAGGTATTTGCAATTAATACTGTGTTCAATTTATACTAATTATTATAATAATGAATAATAATATAATAATGCTACCTTATTAAATAGATATATTGTGTTAATACTAATTTTATTTATGTATCATAAATCTATTAAGTGTTAATTTAAATATTAACTTATAATGTGCACCTAGGTCGTGTAATTAACACAGCGAGTGTGTTGGCTCTGTGGGCGATTCCAACCTTCAGCGCCTACTGTATGACAAAGGCATCGGTCCTGAGATTCTCGGATTCATTGCGCAAAGAAATGGCTAACTTTGGTGTGAAAGTGTCGACTATAATGCCCGGTGGGTTCGCCAGCACCGGACTATTCACAGGTATCCTATCGCTGATGGACAGGACGTGGGCCGAGACGGAGGAGTCGGTTAAGAGGAGTTACGGACAGAAGTATTTCGACGGTTGGAAGAGAGGTCAGCAAAAGTCGTTGGACTCGAGCAGTGGATTGAGTGGTAATAACTCCTATATTGTGGTCAACGATATCATTGATGCCATTATTAGTGATGAGCCGCAAAATAATTATATGCCAATAGAGGGCTTTATGTTTAGGTATATCACCTTTGTAAATGCTTATTTGCCCGATTCTGTGGCTAATATATTGCAAGGCTTATTAAGTAGACGTAAATAGTTACTTTAAAATAAATATGCACTTAAATTGAATGCACTTTTATTTTCAAACAGTTGTGTTGTTTTGCAATTTTTATATTAAACAATAAATTCGTTGTAAAAACAAAACATTATTTGATTTACACTTTATTATACTTGAAACATTTTTAATTTAAAATATATATAATATTTTGCTATTTTTGTAAATATTCTATACCAGCGTATCGTCTAATTGTTTGTTAATTAATTATTGATTTATGTATAGTATTAATGATAATTTTTTAATTCAAATGTATAATTAATATTATTACTGAAACAATCAATAAGCTAATAATTAAATACAAATGCGACTTAATATAGTACATTGATATCAAAAACAAATTAGTAATTAAATTATTTCTACACTTATGTGAACTAAGAAATTAAGTATATTTTATACAAAATTGTAATCTGTATAAAACATCATGTATCAATTTAGGGGCCATGATATAGAAATACCACTTTATAAATACGGTTTATTTTATAGATTTGATATAAATGGTATAATTGTTAATAAATATCAACTAATAATACAAAAACAAAAAGTCTTAATAGTTGTTTTACTAAATATAATGAATTTAATCCGACATTCATTTTATATCTATAAATCCAAACCTAATATTAATTTTCCGGTTTATTATTGCGATGTCTTTCAGTATTTTAGTGAAAACAAAGAGTTTATGTATTATTCAACTATTTTGGGGGTTAACATGGTAATCCTATTTATTTACATATTAAACACCTCAAATATCCATGATTATAAGTGGTTCAATATAATTGCGGCTATTAATGGCTATAAAACATTTAAATCCATTCATCTATGTGATAAATATTTAATTAATAAATATATGCGTTTAATTAAAAATATGTATTTTATGGTTAAATACAGTTATATAATGACTGAAGTATGTGGCATTATTATTGGTATTTTGTTTA